CGCCAGCTCACTAATATCCATCGGCTGCGTTGCGTTAACCAGTTGTAATCGCTGAGAAATGTGGTCTGGGACACTCTCGATGAATTGGGAAGACAGTAACTGCGCTTCTGATTCTTCATCTAAAGTGGGAAGCGCGCGTCGAAGTAGATTAGTCAGTTTCACCGCCAACACTAGCGGGTCTCCATCAGGTCCAAGCTTCATTGACCGGAACTGCTGCATTGCTAGCTGTCTGTCTGTTTCGCTGTCAAACTCGGACACTAGTCGTTCAACCAATTTCTTCCAAGACGCTGTGCCATTTGACCTGTCTACGCTGTCATATGCAGCCTTCGCTCGGCCTCTCAACAGCGTCCCCAGGACAACTGCCTTCGCCGCCTGCTCCTTGACACCCACCAGCTCAGCAACGGCCTCGAAGTCACGTAAGAAGCTCCGTATGTCTCCTTCTTCAAACGCAGCTGGCCACGGGATCTTCATCTTTTGGAGGCAGCGACACCAAATGTAACAACAGAAGACAAGGGCTGGCAACAGATCGTTTTATTACGAAAATCAACACGTATTTATATATATTTTATGTGCATTAATAAGGCTTATGCAAGCAGAAAAAGGCAGTCTTCAAAAAAAAAAAAAAAAAAAAAAAAAAAAAAAAAAAAAAAAAAATGATTGGTTGTTTTCGATATTTCTCGGAAAGTAGAGCCATCTATCTGCGAATCATATTTGTCCACATTTAAGTTTGCTGTGATTGGTTGTTGAAACAGCCTTGTTCATATTTTCTCACGGCCCATATTAGTGACCTAGACATTAACGTAGATTAGTGTCAACCAATCGGCTAGCAGCCTGCTCTCACCACAATGGTAGTTCAAACAACTGGGTAGGACAAACCAGGCAACGTATTTAAGACGTTACGGCGATAACTTTTAGGCACGATGGGGCGAGGAGTACTCGTGGAAATGTCGCATAGAATAGTATCTCTTCCCATACCTAACGGTTTCTCAGCTAATTGTAGAGTTGTTTCCGACAACTCATGTTGAAGCTCGGTATCTTCTTTTTGAAGACGAGCCAGTTTTATAAGGTCTATGCCGCCGATTTGGGTGAGGGAACAAACGCGCGACAAGGCATCTGCTACAGTGTTGTTTACTCCGGATAAATGGCGAATATCTGATGTAAACTGTGAAACGTAATCCAGTTGTTGTGATTCCCTGGGTGAATACTTATCTGAAGGTGAGTTCAGAGAGTACGTCAGAGGTTTGTGATCAGTAAAAATTATGAATTCACAACCCTCTACTGAATTTCTAAAGTGTCGTATAGCACAGTACATAGCCAGAAGTTCTCTGCCAAATGTGCTGTACTTCGTTTCAGTTAATTGAAGGCGCCTCGAGAAAAAGGCGAGTGGATGCCACTCTCTGTTGGCTAGTTATTGCAGAAATGCGCCGGTTGTAGTGTCTAATACATCGACCGAGATACTTAACGGTGCCGTTGGATCCTGATAGCGATAGCTTTTTTTAAACTGAGTGAAAGCATTTTGAGCAGATGCGTCGAGTTCGAAGAGCTTGATATTCTCTTGAGGAAGGTCCGTTAGTGGCTGAATCAGGGAAGCACAGTTAGGAATGAAGTGTCAGTGATAACTTACCAACCCATTAAAGGTGCGAAGACTTTTCACTCCCTGTGGCCCCGGAAAGTTCAGTACTGCCTCAACTTTACTAGCCAGTGGGCGAATACGCCTGCAGTCAATGATGTGGCCCAGAATGTCGAGTGAGTCAGCGCCTATCTGACACTTTTGAATAATAATGGTTACACCATGTAGGCGTAACCTTTCGAATGCCAAGTCCAAGTGTCTAAGGTGAGTTTCCTTGTCTGGACTGGAAAGGAAGCAGTCGTCTAAGCATGCGTATACAAAGTCGAGACCGCGAAATACTCCGTTAATGAAGCGTTGGAATGTTTGTGCTGCATTCCAGAGGTTGAATGGCATGCATAGAAATTCAAGAGGTCCGAAAGGTGTAGTGATAGCCGTTTTCGGACCATTTGATGCCATCAGGATTTGGTTATGGGCTGCCGACGAGTCGTGTATGTGAGGCAATGGTCAGGAATAAGGATTATTTGGCGTTCACTCACCTGTAATCGCAAGGAGACTCATCGTACTGAAGTTTCTGTGGCAACTTGTTTACACGGTGGGGTTGCTAGCCTCACGCCTGAGAAAGGAACTGTTACAATAAGGTAAAGTTTAGAGAGAAGCGACCTTGTGGGTTGCTCCCCTTAAAACCGGAGAACAAGGAATAAAACAATCAGAACAACACCAGCAAAAGGAAAATAATTCCATGCAAAAAGGGCAACAAGCGACAATAAAAATACAATACAACAACATACAATACAGTTGAGCACAGTTAACTAAAATGTTACCAAAACCATAGACTCACTGACTTGGGCCAACTTGAACATATAAATCCAACAATATATACAATTACAGATATGAGTTAGTGTTAAAAAGTCGCAATATGCCAAACATTTAGTTATAGGTATCAGTAGTCAACAAGGTTATATCCACAGGTTCAGTGTTCGAAAGTAAACGGACCGGTAATCGCCAATGGGTCTTCAATCGTTGTCATCTTTTTCAGTACCATATGCAGTGGGGATGCCCATGGGCTATTCGATGGCCGGATGATGCTGAGGGTGAGCATATGGTCGAAATCATTTCTAGCGAGTCATAGTTTTTCAGGAGCAAGCAGTCATGCTTTGGATATCACGGGTTGTCCTGAAGTTATGATGTGATACATAGCATTGCTGGTTATGCACGGTAGATTGTTGAACGGGCAGTTAAGTTTCGGGTAGTTACCAACAATCGGTTGGAATGTTGGATCAAAGATTGCCTTCTTTTTAACGAGTGACAAGAAATGGCCTACGCAGGTGATGCTTTTAATAGACAGTCTGGTAGTGCCGTCTACGAGTCGTTTTTGGGGGACGTACACGAGTAAATGATGATGGTTAAGTAGGTCTGCGCCGATTATGGTCATTGTGACGTCAGCAAGCAGCAAAATCTAATGAATAAGTATACAATTGGTGGACGGGAAAATCAAAAAATTCAATTCAATCTAATGAATAAGTTGGAGTAAATCTACGTTCAGATAGACGTATTTTCTACCAAAGGTTGCAACTACTTCTCTTTTCACAGCCTGAAAGTTGAAGGCAGGTTCCTTCTGTCGACCTGCCGCTATAACAGGAAGGAAGCTGAATTTGGCTCCCGTGTCGACTAAGCACCGGATCCGGCTAACTAGATCACGAATGTATAGTGGGTGTACAATGCCACCGGTGACGGTGCCGCTGACGCAGGCCGGCGGGATAGTTTCCCAAATTTTCCGAGACCACCAAAATTACAAGGTTTTCTGCAACATTTTACTTCCTGGCGATAGGTATTATGATACCAACACAGGACAGGCTTCTAAGCAAACGCGGCTTGGAATTCGACCGACCATGTGGGTTTCACCGTTGGAGGGAATTCGAATGAGGACAGGAGGAGGAATTACGGGGATTATTTGACCTAAGTAGTCGCTGGACGGAGTTATATAGCCCTATCATTCCCTACTCGTAGTCCACTCAGCGGTTGAGCCTATTTCAGTGACTGGCCATTCTATTATTCCTAGAATTTTGTCGGCAGAGTTAGCTAAGTCGCCTATAATAACACCTTGAATTGTCAACAGCACAGACTGTACTGATTGTTGCAGTTTGGATAAGAACATTTTTCTGAAAAGACACTTATCGAAGTGACGTTGGCCGATAACTTCCCTCACTCTCGTCAGCATATTCACAGCTGACTGATCACCTGACTCCACGTTATGAAATAATTCGTTAAGACGCTGTCGATCCGTGAGGTTGTTTCCATTTAGGAGAGTTGCTCTAAGCAACTCATACGGGCTACTTACCTCTGGACTGGACGTATGCACCGTTGCGCATTAGCTTAATTTCCGCTGTAGAGCGTAGATAACTGCAAGGAACTGTGAACGTTGATCAGTTATCCCACGCTCACTAAAATCAGACCCAGCTATCTGAAACCATGGTTCAGTATTATCTGGCCAATATGGTACGAGATGAGGGGTTTTGGCAGTTGAGCGAATACGAATGACCTTAGGACTATGATCACTCATGACGAAATATATATAGTTTGAAAATAGTACAAGAACAAGTACAAAATGGAAACAAATCACCGGATTTATTTACCATAAATGAAGTTCGCGGTAGGGCTCACCAGTTTGCAGGCTAAAGTTGTTGACGTTCACGGATAGTATGAAGAATGCTAACGCAAGATCCTGCACCCACAACTTCTGTAGTATTCGTTTTGCGTAGGTGAAAGGCAAAGAAGAGCAACAGAATCGACCGTCCAAATTACGAACTATATTTCGGGACCAAATCGGATTGCGAAATGACTGCTTAATTGGCTAGGGCTAGTGCATGAACGAAAGAACATCAAACGGTGACGTGTAGAATGGCGTGGATACTTGGCCAGAAGCCTTCAGCCAAACAAATCGACCAGAACGGTGAGGGTCAGCATCCAGTGTTCACTGATGAATGTTGTGGCCAATTATTCTGAAAATTACTTACCGCTACAAGAGAAATGTTCCTTGTTTCATTACAAATTCAGTCCTGCTGATATTTTCAGTCTTGCACAGGTCCACATGTTATTCAAGTTGTGTTGGATCAAGATTATGATTTGTATGTATGTACACATAATGGACACTACTTGGCATTTATTTGATTAATTTCATCACACCTCCAACTCGCCTCCAATCACTGGCCATTCTAAGTATATCAAGTGTGATCTCAAATACTCAGTTTTGTTCGATTCATTGTTTATGAGACTGGGCACCTTACAGATCTCAATTGATAGCCTGCGACCATTCCGCAGAATTTTAACTCGAGCGCTAAAATGTCAAGCTTGAATATTCGACTAGGTTTAACAGCAGTCGCATCATGTTGTCTGCCTTCTGAATGGTCAAGGAGATCATTCTTCTGCGTACCGAAAAACTCGCTAAAGAAAGAAATCAGCATGGAAGTTGAAAAACTTTGAATTCCCTTGATTCTGACAGCTTTTGCTGGCGTGAGTGGCCCAGATTTGTTTTTCTATGCACCTTACAGCGCGCTCGTTTGGAGTGTGCTCGACGTTTCAGTATTTTTTAAGATGGCTAGTCCGAGGACCCGGAGGGTTTTGATGGATGTTAAGAAGATCAACGCTAACCACGTAAGATACTCTATGTCATTACAACTAACTAAAGTGTTTTTTACGTACGTATTTTTGGAAATCAAGCTGTTAAACATATGTTTGTAAATAGTGTTAGAGTATGAATTGGTGCATTGACTTCAGTGTGAATTAATTTAACTTCTGGACAGAAGTCCTCTGGTACACTGCTCAGCCGTCCTACTTATACAGGAATTATTACACTTGGCTTAATGGTATGCTCGAACAATCAACAAATATAATTCGTGCAAATCAATGTAAGATTAATATTAGTTGTCTCGGTTTTCACTTGATTAGAACAAAAGAAATGACTCCTAGTGAAACAGGAAATCTACCTTATCAGAGGAAAAATACTTGAATGTCTGTTGTAGAAACTGATGATGGTAACACCTTAGTCTGTTATGTGGTGTTTAATGAAGAGCGTTGTTTTTCTTCCCAGTTCTATTAAAGTATATTCATCATCCTACCCGGTTTTAAAATACTGAGGTTTGTAATTCTTAAAGTTTTTTGGACATTCGCACCTAAGAGTACGCTTTTTCCCTTTACTGCCTCAGTTGTGATAAGTGTTCTTGAAAGCCGCACAACGAATCAACAGGGACTCAGAAGAGGTTTCACATTGCAGTAAGACGAGTGATGCACGGCATCAATATATATTAAGGTCAGGTATTTGCCCATCAGGTCACTGTTGAACATTCCAGTACTGTAATTTTAGTCTATTTTCTGGAACAATTTCAAATTATAATTCGAGTAGCTTCTTACGTGACATATAAATATCTTGAAGCGGGACGCAACAAAACATTTTGAAGGCAGCAATGCTCCACGACTGAGACACATATACTTCCCAGGAAACAATGAAATGAAAACTGCAACTCTGTCGAACTTCCATATTCAGGAAATGTTTTAGTCGACGCAGTGTGTGACACTGATTTCCATTCTCTGGAAATTTATCCTACTGGATGTTTTACAGCTTGTGTTAATTCTTTTAGTGGTTGGCTTGTAAAGCTTCTGTCTAGAAATGTTTGCAGGCTGAGAAAACACTACTCCTAGTTGAAAGTCTTATAATCTCATACAAAATGTTAGTTACTATTAACTTAAATTACAGAAATACCACGGAGTTCGAAATTAATTGAATTGTTTCTTTTACGCCTCATCTTTATAGTACGTACAGTTTTGAAAACCAATTTTCTAGTTACGCCAATACAGTTTGTCTTTATTTGTAGCTGTGTTTTGAATGCGGGTCCCCTAATCCTCAATGGGCTAGCGTAACCTACGGTATATGGATATGCTTAGAGTGTTCCGGGAAACATCGGGGATTAGGTGTTCACTTGAGGTAAGAATTTCTTGTGATAAGTGGATTTTAGTATTTTCGATCTTTCAAGCTTTATGTTTTTCATATTGCTAGTGTATTACTGTTTATCATCAGTGTTTAGAAAACCAACTATAGCTTCGTGTCATAGGTCCGGATAAAGTTGTCGTTGGGCTGCAGCATTCAGTTTGTACTTGAATAAATCTGCATCGTAAATGTTGGTTCAGTAGCTTACTCATCTTCTTACCTGCTTAAGTAACTAGATAAACTCGGATTCATTACCTTCCAGACCAGTTAAATCCTCGTCGTTATCCTTTAGGGGACTTCCTAGCGACCTCGTTAAAAGGACAGATATTTGAATAAAAATCCAAGTTAATGAAGTGTTAGTGTAACAGTATATTAGGAAAAATCCAGTAATGAGTTATATAAATTAATTGGTTATTTGGTTGTGCAGTTAAAGTCCGCTGCTACAAATTATTAATGTAATCCACAATAGTGTTCACTGCTAGAGTCGTGTCTACTAGTAGACGCTGTGCACCGGTTGTAGAATTGTCTTCGGATAAAGATGACATTCCTTCAAAATCCAAAGTATACAACGCAGTTAGTAGTGAAGCAGTTAGACAGCAAGGACATGTGAGAAGACGAAGAGACGGGCAGCACACTGTATTTTAGATCATACTCCAAAGTTATGTACATTTTACAATGAGTCGTTTTGAACAAAAGTTGTGTACAATATTTCTAATTTTAACATCTAACAAAAAAGTATCCAATCGTATTGTTACAGACTCCACACTCCACATACTTATTTTTCCTCCCTTACATTTCAGTTCATTGTAGTTCTTTTGATTTCTCCCCTTTAAATTTGTGTTATATGATGTGTGGCAACTGCTTCACTTCTTTGTAAAGTTCTGCGCTGAAAATCCAGTCGATCCGATAAACATAACTAAGGAGATCTCACAAACTTAGTCTGAAAAAAGCAAGAGCAGCAGTTTGCGCAAAATAAAATGGTATCATCGTTTGTTTCGTTAGCTTCTCATCAGCTGCTTACAGCCCAAAGAGATCATTACGTTTATGTACGGAAACAATTTTAACATGCACAGAGTTCACTTTGAACGAACAAGCAATATATGCATACAATAGTAATAATAGCAATAATCACTTTATCCCAAACAACAATAGTAATCATGCAGAATGGAATTTTTTGGTGTCACGTAATCAAATGAAAAAGGATGAAAACATCCAGTTACCAGAGTGAGGAAAGACTGATAACTGCTTCTTTGTGAACAGGTGAATCGGATTCCAGGCGCTTGATGGAGATTTCTTCAGCAAACTTTAGGCAAACTCTTTTGCCTATTGATAATTTTGAACGATCTTGCGACGTCCAGGTGATGAGCCGTGCCAAGGAGATGCGTAGCAATGGTACTGTTGAAAGAATTAGTTCCCTTAAGACGTAGGGTTTTTGAGAAATGCTCAGAAAATCGGATTTATGCCATTCTTTCTACCCTACAAATGTAACTGCTCCCACAGATACATGTGAATTTGATACACGCTTGGAGTTAACGCAAGAAGGGCATCTGTCGATTTTTGATAGCACCAAGTAGCATGTTGTACACGATAGACGGAAGCCGGCCTAGCTGCAGAATAGGCTGTGGCTAGTGAGACGTGCTTAATCTTCTGTTGACTATTGCTGCAATATTTTCGCCTTTGAATTCAAGTTGAATGGAGATAGCCCTTTTTTCCTACTGTCATTAGAGCTGTCATATCTTCGGTACTTGTTAATGAACCTCCGGGGGGTAACCGTTCTTGTTCAACATCTTTTCGCGAATCAGAAATTCTTCCTCTAATTTCTATCTAGAAGATATTCTCCTGAATTATTGGTTGGTCATATTTATTAGCGGACTGTGGTGAAAACCAGAATAGAAGAAAAAATGTAATAGACATTAGTCTTTTAGTATTAGGATAATTGTTTAGTCCTATTACCTGAACAAAGTATAATTCAAAGAAGTCTATCAGCGTCGGACCTAATCAATTTGCAGTGATCTATGTATCCATTTCATGTCTGTACATGAAGGAAAAAGAATAAAAGTTGAAGTATTACAAGTAATCTAAAGTCTCTAGGATACTTTGAAGCAAAGAAGAAAGTCGTTATTGGGATTGAGGTGAAAGTAAGGTGAAAACCCATGTGTTGTTGTAAGCCGTATCACAGACTCCGGACGTCGTTTTTGGCAGTTCCACGTAGTAGAATAATGCGCAGTCATACCGGATAATAGGTATTCGGTTATATCATTTGAGAATTTGTTTAGCACTTTGTGGGAAGTGCTTCATACGTACTGTGAATGTCTATTTTTGCTTTTCCATTCAGTGACTCTATACAAAAACTGCTTGTTTTAATGAGTCATCATTTTCTGTCTCAATATTTCCTCAGCTACGCAGATTGATTGTGTAGGATGTGTTTGTTCAGAACCCACTGACGTGGTATTGCACTATGACCCGTTGTTTAATGCGATGGCTTCTGATGCTACCCAGTTGCCTAGACTGAAGTCAGAGGAGAGGGATTCAAGCCTGGGACCCATTGGTTGGTAATGGGCTAAATATCCACTTTATGTAGTTCTTAAAAGTCGACAGCATAGGTTGGCAGATTCATGTTTTCGTTTCCAGTACTCTAAGGACTCATTCAATTTATATTTTCACCTGTCTCTATTAGCATATATTAACTTTACTTAGTGTCTGCATTTATCATTTCCCTTGAGTTGTGTTTATTTTGTACTAGTCTTTCAATTGTCTTTTTTTGACATAAGCAGTTTTTTCGTCGTCCGATACATATATTATATTTCTACACGTGCTTTTATTTGGATTGCGGGATCACTACAAATATCAGTTTCAAGGATGTCAAAAGTGATACCTGTTGTTCAGTTCCTCAAATTAGTATCTCTGTCTCCATTTAAACGGTTTGATACTCATTTGGGTGTGTTGCAAGCAATATTTTACATCACGTATATTTGACCAACAATCGCTTCTGATTTGACAAAGCAACAAGGCATATCGAAGGATGAAACGATCGTATTTACTAAAATCGAAATTCCAAAATACCTTGTTAACCTTTCTGTTTCCTTTAAATAATCTTTATGTCTAGTAATTCATTCAGTAGTAAGTGGTGTACTGATAATTCGACTGAGTGTGCTATTATAATGTCGAAGTTTTTGCGGGAATCATGTTTCAGTTACCTTTTATGCATTTCCTTGTGTCATATTCTGTTTTCCTTTTTACTCTGTGTGTCACCATCTTAGTTTTGTTCGTTCAATTAACATGGATAAATGGAAAGAATTGGAGTTAGAGAAAATGAAAGTTGGTGGCAACAATCATGCTAAGGAGTTCTTTGCTTCACAACCAGACTATAGACCTCAGTGGACTCTTCAAGAAAAGTATAATAGCAGAGCTGCCGCCCTGTTGAGAGATAAGGTATGTGTAACATTTTTCGGAGAGAACATTGTAGTGTTTTTCCTTAGGATAATAGATGCGCAATTGTTGAAATTAATTTTTTTCAGATGTTGCCTTTTAAAAGTCAAGAAATTATTGTCTATATTTGCTCCATCTCATTATTCGTAAAAAAGTGTCAGCACGAATAAAATTTAGTGTGTATACTCGTGCTAATAATAGAGATTCCAGAAGTGTGAGTCGCCAATAAGTCACTTTGATCATTATCACCGGTGAAAGATAAAAGCAAATATTTAACCCCCCTAAATCATTTGAGAAATTTTACAATACAATTTAAGCAGGCGAATACATATTTTCGGTAAATTTTCATCAGGCTTCACAATCACGTAATAAATCAATATCAATCTTAGACATTTGAAACAATGTTGATCAATAGAATCAAATATAATCGAAGAGAAAGTGCTTTGTATATTTTTATTCCTTCTGCGCTTTCCGAGTGGAAAATATGGCTTCAAGCTTGAGTTTTGAAGTTTCAGTAGCTGTGAGGGTGGGATTGCTAGCCCCACACCCAACCTTCCCTCTTTGTTGGGTTTGCAGTCGACTAGGGGAATCGTACCCCGGACCACGTGGATGGTTGGTGAGCATTCTACGACTCAACCATCGACGCAAAAAGAATGTAGATGGAATAATAGTAATAAATTGTGAAACTAAGGTTATACACTGTATGATGTTGATAATGAAGTTAGCAGTACAAATAAAAATAACAATGATATTTGCAGCTACCTGATGTCATGGGGATAACTACTCTAGTTCAGGATTGCAGGCTATGCAGGGAGAGGGACTGAACAAACTTTTTCTGAATACAAGGATTAGGCTGAAACTTTGTTATGCCGACCGCCCCAGCTAGGGCGTACAAACTTAGGGAATTGAAGTGGCACATTGTTTAGAATTCTGTAGGTGGGATTTTTATCAATCCTGTGATCCTTATCCGGAAGGTGTGCCAATATAGAACTGCTGATCAACTTTACGACTCCTTTACGTAACCTGGTTAGACGATGCCGTAAAATGTGATTGTGGGCCTGCACAGTCGTTCTACTTATGTAACTACTACCTCCACAAGAACAGTTCACTTTATAAATGCACATTAGGGTAGCCTTATTTTATTGCTAAGAGAATCAATTGTGCAGATTTGTCTATCATGAAAAATCAGGGTGCTGATGAGATTTCGTTTGTATGCAAAAGAAATAAACGATCTGAAATGGGTGTATTGATCAACTCGTGGTTTTTTTTTCGAAAAATACTCCACTCGATACTCCTATATTGCCTTCTTGTTAGCAAGACAGGTAGCTTTTGTAATCTAACGTCCTAATTCACAAGTTTTCAATGTATGCGTTGTCACGATCGCATTACATAATATTTATTACTTTCGAGGCATGATCCTAGAAGTACGTTTTATATTTATACTATAACTAAGCGTGGGATCGCGATATGCTTGTGGGTGTCCATTTAATTTCTCACTTTATTTTTCAGATAGCTACTGAAGCGTCCGGTAGAATGTGGAGCGAAGAAACTTCTAGTGTCTGTAATACGCGTACCGGTATAAGCCACGTAAAAACCACGAGTGATCTGCCATCTTTATCTTCAGATAAATCAAGCTCAAATAACCTTCGTAAAGACCACGAGACTTCTGCATATAATTCTGGACCTAACAGAATGCCTAATTGCCATTCAGATTTAGAATCCTGGTTAAAAGACACAAGTTTATCCGAAGAGCGTAGTTCTTCTAAAGAGATTCCAGATTGGGCTAAGTAAGTATCATTCGGCTACCCTTTTTTCCCACTGATTCGCGTGGACCTTTTGTGGATGTGATAGTCTGACAGGGTGAGATGTAATTGTGATTTTAACGGGATATGATGACTATACGGAGGACTGTGGACGATTTAGTAATCGTAGTTTGGTCATGCTTATTGCTGGGGAAGCTGAGCAGTTTCAAATCAGGAGCACATACAATCCCTATGCTTGACACCGTTTCTCTATCATGTCTGTAATGCTTATTTTATCAGTATAAATTCCATTATGAGTCTAAATACGTCTTATCATCAGTCACGAAATAATTACATTTCTTGGTAAGGATGTTGACATTGAGGGCCTGAATTCATGCTCTGGAACTTGCACTCTTGCAAAATATAGCATCACAGCTGTTTTCCACATTTGAATACAAAGAGACCTTATTGCTCATAATATTTGCATGTAGCAAAATGTTTCTTTTGAAATTTGTGCATGAATTTCTGTAGCCACACGGGTGCCAAAACCATTTTTTACCTGTGTTTTACAGTGTTTCAGTGAATTGGTGTGCTGTTTTATTTCTCACTTTTGTGCACCGTAAATTTTAGAATTAAGGGTCAATAAATATCCCACAAATCCAAATTGAACTGCCACAGAAAATCAAACGCACAATAAAAATATATTAGAAATACAAGAAATATAAATATGAAATCGGAGAGGCGAAATGACATGGGCTATTAGAAGCCTTCTGCAAGCCAGTCAGCCGATTTGTCTTCTTTCGGTTAGAGCAAGAATAAAATTGAGGCTGTGGAATGTCCGTACAATGTACGAGACTGGAAAGACTTCCCACGTAGCCAAAGAAATGCGAAAATGTGGCATAGAAGTGCTGGGCATCTGCGACAGCAGATGGAATGGTCTCCCAGACGACAACCACGAACACACTGAGGGAGTGGCTATAATGATGTCACCAATGGCAGCCAGATCCCTAATGCATTAGGAACCATTTTCATCCGGGATTATGACAGCAAGATTCAACTCCAAAGGAAGGAGGGAAGGGCGCAATCATCCAATGATACACACCTACAAACAGTGCAGAATAAGAGAAGAAGGAAGACTTTTAAAGACAGAACTATAAAAGATGCCCTCACTACAGATCATATCAGAGCAAAGTTGGAGACACTACATGGCATTACCGAGGAAACTTGCGTGGAGGAACTAACTGTCTGGATGTGATGATCTAGGAAACATGTACAACTGTTCTAGGAAAAAAGAAGAAACACAACAAGGAATGGCTCTCAACGGACACCTACGTGAAAGCTATTAGAAGAGAGGAGGATGGTGAAAGTGAAAATGACTCAATGCAAAGATGGGCAACAGAAGGGGAAGCTGAGTTCACTGAATAGAAAAATGAAGAAGAGTGCTAGGAAAAACAAAAGACAATTCTACAACAACTGAAGCAGAACAGGCCGCAGACAAAATAGATCTAAGGACGTTATATGAGATAACCAGGTCCCTATCCGAGAAGAGATAAACCCAGAGGATACAATGAACAGACACTCAAGGGAACCTGATTACGAAGGAGGAGGAACAAATAAAACAATAGGCTGATCACTTTAAAGGATTCTTGGATCGACCATCACCTACAAATTACCCAGAAATACCACCAACAGGACGCGCAGAACTATCTGCCAGTGGGCACCAATCCCCCAACGAAACAGAAGTCTTGAATGCGATTGAGATACTGAAGTTCGGAAAGGCAGCAGGCCCAGGCGGGATGTCCTCACCCCGAAGCACTAAAAACGGACCTAGAGCCTGCGGCATATGTGCTCACGCCATTATTGCGAAATGTTAGGATGGGAGGAAAGGTGCCTACCGATTGGAAGAAAGGTTTACTACCTTGTCAAACTGCTAAAGAAGGAAGACTTACGCCTCACTCTTCAAGAACCGACTGGGATGGAATAATGCTCTTGTCCACACCAAGTAAAGTACTAAGTCGCATCATCCTAAAGAAAATAAAAGATACACTGAATACAGAACTCCGCCCGTTCCGCCGGAACAAGCTGGATTCAAGAAAGGCGAATCATATGCTGATCAGTTTGCAACTCTACGTATCATCATCGAGCAAAGCACAGAATGGCAGTCAAGATTGTACATTAACTTCATTGACTTAGAAAAGACCTTCGATAGACAGCGTTGACCAAGAAGTAATTTGAAAACTGCTCCAACACTACGGCATACAGCTCCCAAGTCTTTATCAATCTCATTTAACAGCTGATTAGCTATATGACAATGCCACATGTCAGGAGATCAACAACGGAAAAGTAAGTGAGGCTTTCGGAGTACATACAATAGTAGGATAAGCTGACTGACCGTCTATTATCACCAACGATGATATTCTTAATTGTGGTGAACTGGATTATGCATCCGACTGTGTTGAGTGTGAGTGAAAAGATAGTATTACTCTGGATTAACCGATGAGGAGATTCTAGAGGATCTGAATTTCGCGTGTGGATTATTTATGTTTGATGTCCCACAAAGTAGAAGACTTAGAGGCAGTAGTCAGACGAAAACTGGCAACAAGCTGACTGAAGAGGGTGGCTGCCAGCGAAGACAGGACTCCATCCAGGTGAACATGAAGAAGACGGAGGTGATGAAGATAACCAACGAACAGAAACAACCAGAACCAGAACCACTCACCATCAGCGGGAGAGATTTGTGAAAGGTTACTTCCTTCACTTATCTAGTGAATAAGCATTGTTTCAACTACAAGTCGAAGTGGATGAAGATGTCGAAAGCAGCCAGTCAGACAGCCAGAATTGGAAAGGTAAGATACACCTTCATCAAGCTGACTGCAGTGTGGAAATCTTCTACACTCACTCAGCCAGTTTACAGAAGAAAATTCGGATTTTCGACACAATTGTGAAGTCAGTCAGTGGGTTATTCTCTATGGTTCAGAAACTTGGTGTTCCTGTCACGAAAAGGATTTCCAATTAGCCGCGTTGTGCAGACTTTTATCGATAGCTGCCATGTTCTCCAGGTGGCTCCATACTGAAGATGAAATGTCCAGTAGTGGGCCGGCCAGAAAGAATTAGCTCCAAGAAACTCTGACTGGGAATAAACCAACTAAGAGTGGGTCGCTCAACAGATATTATTTAAGAGAAAATGGGGATAGTTTGGAGATAATGTTAGAAGACCGTAGAATGATACCATATGCCAGTCATAACGTGGAGCGGAGTCCAAACGGGACGTGACGGGTGGGTCGTTGGTGTGAGGGTGACATGTATGAGATCGTGTGATTTGGAGGAGGAGATGTGAGACTATGGGCGGTCTTGTGCCCAGCTTAGAAGGACAGCAGAAAATGGAAGTGGAAATGTGATGTTGAAGCCCTATGTTCCACTCAAAACCCAAGGGAATGACAATATAATAATAAATACTCCAAATAGATGAGTAAACATTTATCGTTTCAAAGTTACTGCGCTTTTAAAAAGACTTGTCCGTTGTATTCGAATAAAAAAGAACACTCCTGTAATTAAATGCATTCATTTACTGAAATCAGCAGATCAACATCAGAATTTCGTATGCCTAAAAAAGTTTATTTGCTGAATTTGTTGGAGCGATTGAGCAACATGATTAGGAAAAAGAACAGAAAAGTCTATCAATAGCTCGGTGATCGCCGATCTATCAGGTACAGAGTATCAAAATGGTGAGAAAAATCATTTCTCTGGGTTATTCAGTTTCTCCCAAAGTTTATCAAGCCAATCTATGTATTCAAAGAATTGGTTTTGTAGGGATTTTGATTAAATCCTCCATGTATTCAAGGAAGTTTGTCTAACCCCATAGTTTTCCTGACCCTCACCTCTCATTTAGATGTCTGTCTGTCTGGATTCAACATAGAACTTGGCACCGAAGTGCACCAGTTCGAGTTGCCACGTTCCAAATAGCACACAGAGGTAGACAAGAAGATGAGTGAAGAGAATCAATACAGTCTGACAAGTATAAGAGTGAAACAGAATGGGTAATGGTAGAAAGGAATATGATAGATTACAGAGACTGAATACATCTGCGCTGGCCATTGACAACGATTTTGAGCCATGTCACCTATTGTCTCCAGCCATTGATTCCTAGAGTCCCGAGGGCCCCAACCCGGGAGTCTGCATCTCCCTACCTGACCGACTCAGTTTAACTGTCAAGGATTTCATGGATTGATGAGGCCATGTTTTTGTTCGGCCACCACTGGCTCTTTTCCAACCTGCACCTATATCAGCTAGCAAAGCCTGTCGGGGGAGGCGGTGGTTAGGCATGCTCAGCACGTGACCTAGCCATCTTAGTCTATGTAACTTTAGATGTAATTAGATTAGTTTTCTTTCCTGAACAGCTGTAAATATTATCTTCATTTTTAACCATCACAATTATTATCACCATCATATAGAGTTGTAATCTCATGTTTAGCTAAATACTTCATTATCTAATTGTTGTAAGACGAGATATATTCTCTGTCTGCTCCTATACACACAGAGTCTACAATAAATGGCTGTATAGTTTATGTAAACACTTGCAGACAGACACTGGGTAAGAACCATAATTAGTTGATCGGCCCTGATATCAGCAAACTGAAATCAAATGACATGTAAGTGCAACCGCCTCTCTAATAGTAAAGTGTGGGCAGCTTACACATACAGCTGGTAAATTCCGTTTGTTGACATCAGGGCTGTATGTGATTCCGGCTCAGTTCTTGGCCGATGCACTCCTAAACATCTCTTACCTGGCAGTCAGCTCGGTGAACAGAAAAGATTGGGCATGAGGCCAGCAGCCCTACCCCGTAAAATTATTATCGCTACTTAAGTTTGAAGTGCGATGTTCCACTCGAAAAGCAAATAATTGAAAGAAAAAAAATGCATTTGCTCAAAGTTTACTTCTATTAGCTATAATGGTGTCGCCCGACCGAAAGCTGCTACCTTGACGTGGTGGTCGGGCTTGAACACCCCAATGACCTAATCAAGCTATACTGGCTGAGACTTATGTCTCTTGAGGTTCTACCATGCCAGGCAGGTTGTTTGGATAGCGGTTAAACAAAAAGCAGCTACCCAATCCAGTACCATGATTCAAACAAATTCACAAAATATCATGCCGGATCGGCCGTGGCCCGGATTAACAACGACCGCGCTTCCTGCTGCCGTATCACAGGGCAGGAGTGATAAGTATGCTGCTGAGACACACCAAACAAAAGAGAACAAGCTAAAACAGGCCGCGTGTGACCGGCCTCAAGCAGTTGTCCCCTGGGCTCTGCGGTCACGCAACCAACTTCCATGGTGTGGGCAGCCGGGAAGTAACAAACGCCCTCACAATCCGAAATGCACACAAAACCTCTCTAATCCTCACTTATCTTTGTCTTCATCTCCATTGCCTTGTCTTCCTCCCACTGATACAACTCCTCTACTTGATGGCTCCACACTCCCTCTTCACTCTGTGTCCACTAAAAACGACGAAAGCCAAAAAACCACCGATCTCTGGCGTAGGCGTGACATCCGGCCATCAACCAAGGGACGTGTGTACTGCTCACCAGTTCGCTCCATCCTTCTCTATGACTCTGAAACATGGCCAATACGAGTTGAAGACATGAAAAGGTTGACCGCTTTCGATCATAAATGTCTGCGATCTCTGTCTCACGTTAGGTGGTTTTATAAGGTAAGTAATGTTGACGTTAGGCGTAGAGTGTTGGGCAAACAGGGAAAATCAATCGACGAGGCTATAAAGTTACATAGATTGAGATGGCTAGGTCACGTGCTGCGCATGCCTAACCACCGCCTCCCCCGACGGGCATTACTAGCTGATATAGGTTCAGGTTGGAAAAGAGCCAGTGGTGGCCAAACAAAAACATGGCCTCATCAATCCATGAAATCCTTGACAGTTAAACTGAGTCGGTCAGGTAGGGAGATGCAGACTCCCGGGTTGGGGCCCTCGGGACTCTAGGAATCAATGGCTGGAGACAATAGGTGACATGGCTCAAAATCGTTGTCAATGGCCAGCGCAGATGTATTCAGTCTCTGTAATCTATCATATTCCTTTCTACCATTACCCATTCTGTTTCACTCTTATACTTGTCAGACCGTATTGATTCTCTTCACTCATCTTCTTGTCTACCTCTGTGTGCTATTTGGAACGTGGCAACTCGAACTGGTGCACTTCGGTGCGAAGTTCTATGTTGAATCCAGACAGACAGACAGATAATGGTGTTGAGTATCTGTGGTGATTGATTCCAGTATGCAATTGTGTAAAACTTGATAAGGAATTACTGAAAAACGAAAATCATAATTATTTGCCTAAACTATACGTGTTATTGCTCGCAATTGTATCACGCAATGTGGTGTTATTTTCGGAAATCAAAATAAGTCTTCTCTGCAACTGTGTCCTGTTTTTTATCTCTTGATTCTAGAAGGCGTAAACTTTAATCTTGCAACAAAATTCTGTTTTTATTACTCTTACTAGTGCATTGTTTTGAGCTAGACGAAATCACTGTTATGTCCAACTGCATTGTTACTCTGTCGCATTTAGTCAAAGCATTGAGTGAGTGTACACAAAGTGTTATGGAAAGTGTTATAAATTAATCAGCTAGTCATAGAATGTGTCACTTAGTGAAACGATAGGGCATTAAAATGTGCTACTTCGTCTTTAATCATCACATACTTCGACGTTTCAAAAGGTGATTTGAATTAGAGGAAGAAAATAAAAAAGGTGTTTGCTGTTGGTTTAAAAATGTATTACAATATTGTTTAAGCTATGCAGTGCAATAGAAGTTGTGTTGGGCTAAAGAACAAAAAAAAACAAATAGGCGACTGGGAGATTTAAGAAGTTATTAATTATTCAGAATCAATAGAGGAGACGTAGAGATGCCTTCGTATCTCTGCAAAAATCATCTTGTACACACTTTTTTTTTATCCCTTATGTATATCTGCATGATGTCATAACCATCATCATCATCATCATCATCCCATTGTTTTTACACTTTTCATTCCCCTCTTTGTTAACATAATGTCTGCTAATAAAGTCCAGTCTGGATGGAACTTGTATGGATCTTATGTTGTGTATAAATAAATTATCATTATTATTACGTTTGTCAAGCTTTACCCCATTGTTGTGGAGAGGTGTAGTTTGTCGCCTTTAGCATTCGAATTCCTGTAGTGTTGTAAGCTCTCAGGCGTCATCTGTCTGTCTGTTTTCGACATAGAACTTTGCACAAATGTGCAGAAGTTCAAGTCGCCACACTCCGTGTAGCACGCGAAGCAAGAGAAGAAAGTACAAGAAAAGCATAATAGAGACAGTGAGCAGAGGTGTGAGACAAAGGAAGAGTAATAACGAAGAACAAAACAGTTTCATTGGAGATCATAAGTCACAAGGAGTGGATGCATCTGTGCCGGTCATTGAGAACGATTTTGAGCCATGTCACCAATTGTTTCCAACCATAGATTTTTGCCGTCCCGAGGAGACCCCAGCCTGGAAGTCTACACCTTCCTACGTGGCTTAGACCAACTGTTGTGGATTTCATTGACTGGTGCCATGTTTTTGTTTGACCGCCGCTAGCTTTTTTCCAGCCTGACCCTATATCCGCTAACATAGCTCGTCGAGGGAGGCGATGGCTTGGCATACGTAACACATGTCCTAACCATCTCAGTCTTTGTAGCTTCACGACTTCGTCGATTGATTTCCCCTGTTTACCTAGAACTCTACGCCAAACCTCCATGTTGCTCACCTTATTATGCCACTTTACACGGGAAATAGAGCGCAGGCACCTATGATCAAAGACAGCTAGTCTTTTCATGTCTTCCACTCTCAGTGGCCGGGTCTGACAACCATAAAGGAGGACGGAGCGGACTGATGAGCAGTACACCCGCCCTTTGGTCGATAGTCGGATATCATGTCTACGCCAGAGTCGGCGTAAACTGGCATATGTGAAACTAACCCTCTGTATCCGTGCTGAGATGTCGTCAGAGATCAACGCGTTGGCACTGGCTGATGGTACTTCCCAAATAAGTGAAGCGGTAAGCGTGCTCTACCACTTCACTTCCTATTTTTAAACTAGGCGTCGATGTAGTCCAGTCCTGTAACATCATCTCGCATTTGGCGGGAGCGAATCGCATGCCAAACATTCGTAGATTGCGGCTCAAGGTGTTTAGAAGGATCTGCATTTCGTCAGCGTCTTCGCCTAGAAGGACTATATCGTCTGCATATTCCAAGTCAACGAGATTATTCCCCGGTAGCAAGTCAATCCCTGAGTCGCTGAAGTCACCTAGGGTTAAGTCCATTAACACATCTATGATGAAGGCGTCATAGTGCATATAACTGAATTAAACCATTATTATTATTATTATTATTCCTAAACCCCTTTTTTACTGGTCACAATTCCCGTTATATGGAACATTTCTTAAACTCATTGTTTCAATGTATTCAGTGTACTTGTTATGTGTATACAATGCAAACACCAAAGCATAGTGAGAAAAGTGACTACTATGTAAATTTTCGTTGTTAACTTAAATTTCTCATTGTTTCCTTCTTCTGTTTCTCGATTTCAGTTCTAGGTCGGCGAATTGCATGAGCTATGATAGTTCTTCGGCTAGGCACTATTCACTAGTACCTGAAAGTAATAATGATGCCTCTACATGGCAGTCAGTAAGTTCTCTTTTAAACTCACCTACTAATTGGAGTTTATGGTGATAATAAGAATAATAAAGTATAAATTATTGAATACTGTTGTAATATTAACAGGAATTTTTGACTTACACATTTAAGGGGGGTTAGCCTAGGCGAAAAGTGTAATAATACTAGTATTATACAATAGTGTGTATTATGAATTGGTGGGTGACATCAGATAGAAGTGGCAGTTTCCTCATCTTACATAGTTTTTCAAACTAAATGTTAGTGATGCTAAAACTCTTTAGGTATTGATTACGCTCAGGTTGGTAATGAACTGATTTATTTATTTTGTGACGTAATTTTTGTTTTGCTTGTCGATTTGAAATCGTTCTCATTACGAACAGATTGTTTGCTGAAAGCACCATGACTTGAGTCATTGAACTACACTTGAAAAGAAATGTTTTCCTAAATTTTATGCTTTTTTGTACTCCTCTGAGGGGAACACAGAGCTTCAAGCTTTGGCTTTAAAGTTTAAGTAGCAGTGGTGTTTCCGTTCACACATTCACTCTCAACTTCCCACCTTTACCGGTCTTACAATCGGTTAAGAGAGGTTTAGGAGTGCGTTGGCTAAAGTCGGATCCCGAACCACGTACATAGTCGGCGGGTATTCTGTCACTGAACCACTGACGTACCGAAAATAGGTGAGAATTCTGTAAGCATTTGTAGTGGGGTTCATTAACGATTTTAAAGTGAACAATTTTTTTGTTGTTGATTCGTATAAAGTCTTGATCCTGATCACGCCATTCTGTCGTCATCCAGTCTAACACTTCAATATCTCCTTTGCCAGTTGGCCGTAGATGAAGCATATTCCGTTCATTAGAGGTTTACTACTTCATCACCTTGACGTAATTTGGTAGGTGGTGACTTCCAGTGGAATCCAGAATGTGTATTTCGTCCTGTTTGGGACTTGGTGGCAGGGATATACCTGCATTTTCTATTGAGTGATGGTGTTCTCACTGGGACTTGAACCCAGTGCCCATTGTTTGAAACGTCAGTGCCTTATCCACTAGACCACTTCGGCCACGTCATCACCCGTTTGTTTTTCTGTGTTCTGCTGTAAATCGTTTACTTGTTAGTGAAGTCATAGCGAATGCCATGTGTGGTTAGGACAATTACTGGTCGGTCAGCTGGATCCACCTACATTGATCCGTTCAGCTGCATAGGAAGGTTAGTTTTCTCATCCATAGGTGGTGTAGCTGGCAACATTCCATGTGTTCCTTACGATTTGTTAGTTTTCAGAAGTTAGCAAACGGACCCCAAGTAAACCTGATTAGGACTGATTTGGAATAGAGATAATGGTGATGTATGCTGGAAAGTAGCATCAACGTGTTAGACATTCAACTGTTGATCTAAACTCGGACTTCAGGAAATACTTTACTTGTCAAACTACAAATTATTAAAATAAGAAGGTGATTCAGTAATGCGATAGTTGCTTGTTCGTTAGGAGACTCAAACGGTATATATTCTCACGTTGGTCAAGATGTTAGTTGGGAATCAGTTAGCTGGTGCAGGTTATGAGCCACACTTCTTAACATGAGGGTTGCCGATACTGACTTTTTGTTTTGACTCAAGTAGGTTGGAGACGTTGTTTTGATGGGTTTGAAGAAGAGCCGAAACATATCCTATGTACGGTGGTTTCAATGTCTGTCTGTCTGTTTTCGACATAGAACTTTGCACAAATGAGCGGAAGTTCAAGTCGCCACACTCCGTGTAGCACGCGAAGCAAGAGAAGAAAGTACAAGAAAAGCATAATAGAAACAGTGAGCAGAGGGGTGAGACAAAGGAGTAATAAAAAAAAACAACAGTTGCATTGGAGATCATAAGTCACAAGGAGTGGATGCATCTGCGCCACTGAGAACGATTTTGAGCCATATCACCAATTGTTTCCAACCATAGATTTTTACCGTCCCGAGGACCCCAGCCTGGAAGTCTACACCTTCCTACGTGGCTTAGACCAACTGTTGTGAATTTCATTGGCTGGTGCCAAGTTTTTGTTTGACCGCCGCTAGCTTTTTTCCAGCCTGACCCTATATCCGCTAACATAGCTCGTCGAGGGAGGCGATGGCTTGGCATACGTAACACATGTCCTAACCATCTCAGTCTTTGTAGCTTCACGACTTCGTCGATTGATTTCCCCTGTTTACCTAGAACTCTACGCCAAACCTCCATGTTGCTCACCTTATTATGCCACTTTACACGGGAAATAGAGCGCAGGCACCTATGATCAAAGACAGCTAGTCTTTTCATGTCTTCCACTCTCAGTGGCCGGGTCTGACAACCATAAAGGAGGACGGAGCGGACTGATGAGCAGTACACCCGCCCTTTGGTCGATAGTCGGATATCATGTCTACGCCAGAGTCGGCGTAAACTGGCATATGTGAAACTAACCCTCTGTATCCGTGCTGAGATGTCGTCAGAGATCAACGCGTTGGCACTGGCTGATGGTACTTCCCAAATAAGTGAAGCGGTCAGCGTGCTCTACCACTTCACTTCCTATTTTTAAACTAGGCGTCGATGTAGTCCAGTCCTGTAACATCATCTCGCATTTGGCGGGAGCGAATCGCATGCCAAACATTCGTAGATTGCGGCTCAAGGTGTTTAGAAGGATCTGCATTTCGTCAGCGTCTTCGCCTAGAAGGACTATATCGTCTGCATATTCCAAGTCAACGAGATTATTCCCCGGTAGCAAGTCAATCCCTGAGTCGCTGAAGTCACCTAGGGTTAAGTCCATTAACACATCTATGATGAATTTGAATAGAAAAGGGGATAATGGGCATCCTTGACGGACACCACTGGTCGTCATCAGTTCAGATAACAGCTCGCTGTAAGCCCTCACCTGGTTTCAATATGCGTTGTAAGTCTTTATTGTGTGCCGCTCGATTAGTGTGTGCGTCAAATCTGTTAGTTCTCTTAATATGAGGAATACGTAATTAGAAAGTATGTCGAATGTTAAGTGTATTATGTTAAGTCTTTCTTCTGATTTTTCTGGGTCGTCCTACATCCTAGTGATTTCTAGAAGAATATTTTGTCTAACATTCTACATAAAGAAATGAAGATACTTCGGCATAACTCAGCATCTAATTTTACAATTTCTTAACCTTCATTTCACCTGTTTCTCCTTATCACTCTTTGTTCCTTCTTGGGATGCTTAGATAAAGACTTTTTTACTTTTCGAACGGGACACTGAAAGAGCTCTTGGTAGAGTAAGTAGTGTGTGTCTAAGCCTACTGGATGATACCGTTGTTAAACTCGTTTGGAATCGATGAAGGCAATTCTATCGGACTCTGAGTACTCCCTTTATTCACAACTACCCTGCCCCCACTTACACCTCCTCATCAGGTGGTGAGACAAGAATAAATTTCAAAAGACAACACGTTTACTGGACTAAATATAAAAGCCCAACAATACCATTGTTGTTGTTATGCATTCCAATTTTTGTGAATAGAAAAAGTGTTGGGTACAAAATTACTTACTTCGAAACAGTAAATAAACGGTACTTTACGTTCTCCCAAACTCTGATGTACTGTCATCATTGTTCCTGTCAATTTTATATTCAGTCATTTATTACTATTGTTGTGAATATTTTCCCTCTAAATGTACAAGGACATTATTATATTAACGCAGAAAAAACTTGGTACAATTTGACACCAAGAAAGATGCGCCACACATTACGTAGAGTGTTGGGCAAAGAGGGAAAATCAATCGACGAGGCTATAAAGTTACATAGACTAAGATGGCTAGGTCACGTGCTGCGCATGCCTAACCACCGCCTCCCCCGACCGGCATTGCTAGCTGACATAGGTTCAGGTTGGAAAAGAGCCAGTGGTGACCAAACAAAAACATTGCCTCATCAATCCATGAAATCCTTGACAGTTAAACTGAGTCAGGTAGGGAGGTGCAGACTCCCGGGTTGGGGTCTTCGGGACTCTAGGAATCAATGGCTGGAGACAATAGGTGACATGGCTCAAAGTGATCTTTGTCAGTGGCCAGTGCAGATGTATTCAGTCTCTGTAATCTTTCATATTCCTTCCTACGATTACCCATTCTGTTTCACTCTTATACTTGTCAAACTCTATTGATTCTCTCCACTCATCCTCTTGTCTACCTCTGTGTGCTATTTGGAACGTGGCAACTCGAACTGGTGCACTTCGGTGCGAAGTTCTATGTTGAATCCAGACAGACAGACAATAAAACAACATAGATTAAAAGTAAAAATATAAGTAGAGAACGGATAAAGAACTTCATCTGGAAGGAAAACAGTCATGCTTAACAAGTTCAAACAGTATTCGTTAACTATCATCGGGAAGGGAAGAAAGAAGGAAATTTGAACAAGGCATTAAGAAGACAAATTTATCAAAGGGACTAATTGTTTTAAAGAAGGAAATTGCAACGCGTTCGCCATTGATTACGATTCTTGGCCATATCCGATAGCGTTTTGAGCTATCGATTCGAGCTATCTCGCGGACCCCAACCAGGGAGTCGTGACACACCAACCGATGCTAGTCTAGCACAAAAATCCTTCGTCCCACGATGCCACGTCATGGACTGACCACCCCTCCGCCTTTTCTATCCCGTCCCAGGGCTAGCGAACAGAGACCTGTACGGAAGCCTCTGGGATGACATTCGCAGCACATGTCCAAGCCACCGGAGCCGGTGTTTCCAGATGACGACACTCAATGAATAGTGATTTCAACTGTGTTCAAACACACGCCGCCGAACCTCAGAATTACTCACGCGATGATGCCATCGACCCAAGCAATCCTGCGGAGACAGCGATGATCGAACACACAGAGTCGCCGCACATCCTCAGCTCGGATAGGCCAGGTTTCACAGGCGTAGAACAAGACAACCCGCACCGAAGCATTGTATACCTGACCTTTGACAGCCAGCCTAACGTCGCGACGGCGCCGTAGGTGGCTAAAGTTGATGTATGCCACCCTAGCCTTCATTATACGGTTGGAAATCTCATCCGTCACCCCTCCGCCAGCACTCACACAACTACCCAGATACACAAACTTATCAAAAACTTCAAGCGGTTCACCCGCAAGAGTGAGTGCAGGTACAGACTCTTGCGGAACTTGTAACAGTACTTTGCACTTAGACGGCGCAAAGCACATACTATACTTACAGATATCGATCGCCAACTGATTAGTGTGATTTGGACAGCCTGCATGCTATCGCACAGGAAGACGATATCGTCTGCATATTCGAGGTTGAAAAGCCTATCTCCAGGTAGCAGACCTACACCACCTTCACACACATCCTTCAGAGCTGATTCCAGAATGTCATCGATGGCAAAGTTAAAAAGAAATGAAGAGATTGGGCAACCCTGTCTAACCCCACTGTTGGTTGGGAACAGTTGATGATAGTTGGTTGTATGCCCTCACTCTACCCGAGGTGTTTCTGTATAGGGCTTTCAAGATGTTTACAAATTTCTCAGGTACACCTCTCTCTAACAGACAGTTCCAGAGCACAGTTCTGTCCAACGAATCAAAGGCAGCCCTAATATCAAGAAACACAACGATCGTTGGCCTGCAATACGTGTGGCAGTGTTCCAACAACTGACGAAGGGTGAACACATAATCAATGCATCCACGTCCTAAACGAACCCCAGTCTGCGAAGCAAGACAGCAGCCGATATTTTAGACGCGACTGGTAACAGACTGATACCCCTATGATTGTTACACGAATTACGTCGACCCTTTTTAAAGATGGAGACGATAGTGGCTTCGTTCCACATTGATGGTACACTCTCTGTTTCCCATACCTACCTGAACAACCCAGTTAGAGCCATTGTGATACTCTCGCCACCATCTTTAGAAGGAGTCGGGGGTAGATTGTCTGGGCCGGGCGCCTTATGGCGTCTTAATGCTTGGAGTTCCTTATGGACCTTCGCTTCGGTGGGTGGGTCGGTACTAACCGACCAAGGAGCACTTGTGCTAATGACGGCAGACACTTAAGCTGGTGGCCAGCTAAACTGTTTCCCAGAGTGCTCTGCCCAGCGTTCCAGGCGTCTTTTGAAGCTGGTAAATGGTGTGCCATCTGCCTCACACACCGTCTCGCTGACATCTTGTTTCTTGCTGCCGGTGGCTCGGATGAGCTGGGACAGCCTCTGACTGTTGCCAGATGCAGCAGGTGACTCCTTCTCATACGCACGTCCTGACCACCGGGCTTCGCGGTCCTTATGTAAACACTGTCTTATCTTGCGCGTAAGCGCCTTTCGCTTATTGCTGTATTCGATGCCAGCCGAAATAGCGTCCATTCATTGTACCGTTTGCTAAGAATTCTACACTTTCTCTAAAATATTTTTTACAATAAAGCCATATGTTGTTATTACTGTGTTTCTGAGATTACCAATAGGTCTGTATAATTGTGATTTGTTAAAGTGTAGTTAGCTAGTTATTTAGTTGTTCATCGTGTTGAAAAAATTTTAGTTTCATTTGTTTTAAATGTTTAATAGGGTTGGGCTATGTTCAGTCAGGTGGCTTCCGCAGCTGCTAGGCGTACAAGTGAATTAGCTTCTCAGGCTACTCAAAAAACCAAAGAAATAACGCATTCTGTTCATGAGAAAGTAAGTTAAATTAGTTGGTATACATGTGTGTATATATACTTTGTAAATTCTGAGATGTATTCACGCTTCCAAACGTCTACTGCATCAAATTTTTTTTATCTTCGTTGTCTGTTCGATGTATTGGTGGACTTTTTGGGTTTTATTTTCCCTTTAAATGTTAGACGTATTGCACGTTAATTTAAAAAGAATCCTAGGAGATCAGTATTACAATGCGAGATTTCTTCTTGATATTGTCTACTCGTGGAATCACATCTAAGTTAAATCGGTTGGAAGTAATAGACAAAGTACTTGGGTGTGTATTCAGTCAAGACTTAATAATGACTTTAATGTACTAATATACAAGGCGTTTTCTTTCGTGTAAATTTTGAATGTAGATCAGAGATCAACAAATCAGTTTACACGTGAGAAAGTGCTGTTTTCCATTGTTTCTTTTTTGTTGTTGATAGGATTTAGATCTCTTCTGATTGTCGTATCTCTGGCTCCTTGTAGGAAAACCCTTTGATACTGTTGTAGCTAACAGTCGATCCCAGGATATATACATATTCTCTTCCCAATTTTTACATATATCAGACAATCGTACTTAATCTGCAGTGTAATACTCTTTCTATTAAGACTTCATATTAATATTTATTTCTCCGATTATTACTGACTAATACTAAGAGGGGCATATACATTAATCTTGTAAAACCCACGCCTACTGTTTTTCTTTCATCAATCGCCACGTCTTTCAGTTACTAGTTAGTAGTGGTGAATAGGTATTCGGTTTTATGGATATGCCTGACAGCATAAAATGTCATAGCCAACCGGATTCGGCGATAAGCTTGTTGGATATAAACTTAAGTAGGGTGGTGTTCTATTTACATGTGGTATGCACTTTTGTAAATATATTTACTGGTTAGAAGTTGTATTTGTACCATTCAGGACGAATAGCTGTTGTACATATAATAAATTGTAGATTTTATAGGATTTGTGTTGGCTTCTATTATGCCTCTCAGTATCCAACTTCTCTACTACTTACTTCACGCTTCCCTTGAATTATCCTGTTCGTTGGGGATACTACTTTGCTGTCCGAACCGCAGTATCATTAGATTAGAGATAGAGGCAGTGTCATATTATTTATAGAAAAGTCAATTGCCTAAACTAATTAGCTCGTCGTCCAACCGTCCTTCCTTCCTTCCTTTCTTGGACTAGAAAACTGATGAACTAGTAAACCAGGCGAGGTTTTTCAAGGCTTGTAAGCTACACATTCTGTTGGGGGCAGATAATACTATCCAGTCACCCAGATTAAGGTAGGCGGAGTGGGATTCGAAACCGGTAGTCACTGACTAAAAGTCTACTACATAAGCCAATAAACTCTATTTCCAGTATAAAGTCTACCTTGAAAGAACTGATCTCTCCCTATAAGGTTTGGACCCGCGTCAGTATATGTATGGCGATAAACAAATAGATTCTCTGTATAATTGTGTTATTTGTATATGTTGTCAATTATACTTATGTTGTTGAATAATGCATGTTGTCGATTGTTTGTTGTTTTGTTAACCTTTGTTTCTACAAAATAAAGGTTAGAGATAGCAATATTTTGGATTCGTTGTCAAAGGGTGTTGACACTGTAGCAACTAAGGTGAGTAGTTTATAAGTGTGTTATTGTTATTATTTTTTGGATTGATATAGGGCTGCAGGTATGTGATCGTTTTAGTCTGTAACGGGGATATGTTGTGCGTTTTCAATACTCCCTATGCAACACATGCATTTGATTTACTCTCGGCGTTTGTGCTGCACAATGGTTGGGGATAGAAACTTTTGTTTTTTTTTGTAAAAATATGATAATCAATGAATTTGTCAAAATTTAACCTCTTACCACCGACAAGATTATCCTATCCTTATTGTTTTTGTTACATGTTAGAATTCATGAGTTTTGAATGCGAGAAGCCCCGGGTTCGTAACCCGATATCTCCACCAGTGCGTCATTGGTTCAGTGATTGAACACTCGCCAACCTTACCGCGTGTTCTCGGTTCGACCCACCACCCTTACTAATGCTCTACTAACCCCCCCCCCCTAAGTAACCTCTAGTAAGACCGCTAGAGTAGGAAATTTGTGTGTGAGGCTAGCTATCCTATCCTGTGAGAAGAAACACTAGTGCTAACGAAAGTGCATACCTGGAGCTTGAAGCTCTCTTTTCATTTCAAAGCTAAAATGTTTTCTCTGAAAATGCAGGATGTGTCAGTCATAATTATTTGTCGTCAAACTGTAACTGTGACAGGCTTTAGAACTGAAGTGCACACTAATGTGTGCAAAATAACTCCTCGATAGATAGCAACTGACGTATACATCCGCTAAGTTTGAGCTGTTGATTCTATTTTTGGTTGGTTTGGTTGCTTCCACATCAGTAATTCATGACTTTAGAAAAATGCCATTTTGTCTTTTATAGTTACAAACAGTCAAGACTCAAGGGATTCGAAGTTTTGAGTCATATTGGACTTGTAACCCACAGTCGGACTTGTCCACTGGGAATTCTGAAAAGTCCTATGGATCCACTCGTTTTGGGTAAGATTTTGTGTTATGCAAAGTAACTTCATTTGTTTGATTCGTTTTTGATTTTTTTTTGTAATAAAAATAAACTGTTTATTGTTTCTGTACTTATTCAGCAACCATGTCACTTGTTATGTTGTGGAGAGTGTCTCTTTCCTTAGATGAAGGATGGCGGCAGTAAGCGTATATATATATATACTGAACAGATTAGAGAAAATGCTATTGAAGATGGCTGTTCAAATCAGTGGCAAGGAGAAAGTTCATCATACTTGTTACATCAGAAATACCGTAGCTGGTTTCAACGTAGAACTTCGCACAGATGTGCAGCAGTTCGAGTTGCCACACTCCATGCAGCACTCAAAGCAAGAGAAGACAGTAAAAAGGGATTCTAAAGAGAGATAATAAACAGAAGTTTGAGGTAAAAAGAATAGTAGTAATATGGAAGAACATTAGAGTTTTATTGGATACGATGAATCACAAAGAGTGAATACATCTGCGCTGTCATCAGGACAGATGATTTTGAGCCAGCCATATCACCAATTTTCTCCAGTTGTCGGAGGACCCCAAACAGGAAGTCTACACATTCCTATGTGGCTTAAACTAACTGTTGTGGATTTTCTTGACTGATGAGGCCATGTCTTGGTTTGACCACCACTAGCTCTTTTTCAACCTAATCAATCCTTTAAGTGTTGGTTTGTAGGGGTTTGGTTGGGTACAGGATTTCATCATGAGCTGACATTGGTTAGAGAACCGTCCTAAACTAGGACGAAACAGCTGTCCAGTACTCCATGAAGGTTTTCCAATGGTTCTCTAACCAATGTCAGCTCATGATGAAATCCTGTAATCAATCCTTTGTCAGCTAACATTTCCCGTCGAGGAAGGCGATGGCTAGACACGTGTGTAACATACTTAAATAACTTAGTAAAATGAGGGACAACGAAATGAAAATAATAAAATTACGAATTCTAGATTTCGGTTTGATGAAAGAAGATAAGAGAATATGAGTAAAGAAATACAGCGTTGTGATTCGCGTGGAGACTGATTGATTCTAGACCATTTCAAATAAAATCAAGCATAGTTTTGGGCGAGGAACGAATGAAGACATTTAAGATCAAATACCTGTTATTTTTTTTCGCTTAAATTTCACCTGCCATTTCTTAACCGTCGTAAAGTGGAAATGAACAACTTGCTGCGCATAAAACTTGCTCTTTGATGGGTGATTGAATATCACGCTTGCGACAAAGATAACACAAGTGTACGGCTAATATCAATCATGCATCTTGTATCTGTGCTGAAAATCCGAAGATTTTCCCGGCAGCAGTTCAGTACCTGGGATACTGAGGTTAAATAGACTCATTTTCTCAATGATATAGGTCCTTAAAAAATGATAACAGTGTTCATGCTCTACGGTCCACTTTAGATAACAATTAACCGTCAGCTCTTACACACCTAGAAGTTCGAGTTTTTTTTTGTATTCCTTGCGTTTCGACTGGAATATAGGGCTCTAGTCTTTTGAATTTTCAGCAGTGGTGCTGTTTTTGCATGGGGACGTGGTGTTGCTAGCCTCACACCCAACCTTCTCCCTCTAATCTTCAGCGCAGACTGAGCAAACATAATTTCAGGCAGGAAATTGCGAGCTCGTTTTATTTCGCGTATTCTTGCCAACCGTGCAAACAACTTGAACACTATCAAAATACAAGTTACAAAAGGTTTAACTGTGCATCTGTCACAGTGATGTCAGGTTATCAATAGAAAGTATAAGTGATGTAATTTCAAACTGTAATGTTAGTAGACAGATGTATTCAGTGTTAAAAGGGTTGACTATTTATAGTGTAATTAGATAAGAGGAGGTAGATCAGAGTTCAGATGTGTTTTCCTGATCGTAGAAACAAGGATTGAGTAGAGATAATACAAAAATAATTTTGATTGAACACTAGTAACTAGTGTTGTAACAACAGAAGACAAGGACCAGGCAATAGATCGTTTTATTATGAAAATCAACACGTATTTATACATCTTTCAACTACATTATTATATACAAGCGCAGTCATCTGATTGGTTGTTTAGGTAGACAAACGCAGGCTTCTGATTGGTTGTTTCGGGATTCCTTGACAAATAGAGTTCTCTCTGCGAATCATATTCTGCCACGTTAACTTTGCTGTGATTGGTTGTTGACTCAGGCTTGTTCATATTTTCTCACGGCCCATATTAGTGACCTAGACCTTAACGTAGATTAGTGCCAACCAATCGGCTAGCAGCCTGCTCTCACCACACTCGTCCCCCCGTCAAATACGTGCGACTGAATTCGGCTTGATCTACTTGGTGCAGGCGTCATCGTTGGCTTGTCTCGCTGTATCCATTTCTGGAGCTCGCTGACGATCAGGCGCCTCTCATTGTTCGCCATTGCGACTGTGTCTGCGTAACCCCATCTCGAAGTGACCATATATGGTCCTTCCCACTTTGGAAACTGTTTGCCTGACCCTGTCGAACATTCGTCCATACTTCGGCCGACACCTTCATATGCTGCTTTCGCCCGACCTCCCAGCAGCGTCTCAAGTAGCAGCTCCATCGCTGGCAGATCTTGAACGCCACTCAACTGCGCAGAAGCCTTGAAGTCCTGCCCGAAGATCCATATGTCTCCATCAAAAACTGCAGGGTATAGGCTTTTCATTTGTCGGTAGGCAGCGACACCAAATGTAACAACAGAAGACAAGGACCAGGCAACAGATCGTTTTATTATGAAAATCAACACGTATTTATACATCTTTCAACTACATTATTATATACAAGCGCAGTCATCTGATTGGTTGTTTAGGTAGACAAACGCAGGCTTCTGATTGGTTGTTTCGGGATTCCTTGACAAATAGAGTTCTCTCTGCGAATCATATTCTGCCACGTTAACTTTGCTGTGATTGGCTGTTGACTCAGGCTTGTTCATATTTTCTCACGGCCCATATTAGTGACCTAGACCTTAACGTAGATTAGTGCCAACCAATCGGCTAGCAGCCTGCTCTCACCACAGTGTGACGTGTCTAGTAGTCCTTTCTTTGATGTAGACTGAATTCTATCAGTCAGTCAGGTTTGCAATGTGGCCACCATGCCACTAGGTAGCTCGCCATCACGGTGCACATTGGTTCGATGATATTGGATAGTTGGAGGCAATCAGCCACAGAAAGCCTTGGACCTAGGTTTCGTGCTAGTTGGCACCCACCTGTCAGAAAGGCGTATCTGCAACCTTGAAGGAACTCCTGTCCCCTCTGAGATTTGAACCTAGGTCCAAGGCTTCCTGCCGATTGCCTCCAACTATCTAACAAAATAGCATTATTAGTGGTTTGATCTTTCAATTACTTTCTACCATAATTAATTGTCTTTATTCCCATGTGCTTGTCTTTTTTTAAAAAAAAAAATTATCAATAATATTTAGTTCACGCGAGCAAGAATATTCTAATTCAGATCTGCAGCGTTCAGCCGATTCATCGTACAATAGAATTGAAAACAAAGGTAATCATCTCTGAATGAGTATAATTTCATTTTTGATCTTAATGGCTTCTGTCACGGTTATTTTTACCTCCATAGGAAGACATTTTAATTTATCACCAACTTATTCATTTACTGAAATATATATATATATATATCCTCTAACAAAAGCAATCAAACTAATGAATTCCAAGAAGACAGGCAGGATTAGACAGAATTTCCCCCTGAAGCATTGGGAAAACGGCTCCAGAGACCGCGGAGAATATGCTGACGACACTGTTGCAAAACTTTTGGAGGGGGGGGAAGTACCTGCTGCAAGAACTGGAGTGGAATCATGCTCTTGTCCACGCCAGGCGAAATAATAAGTCGTGTCATCCTGGACAGATTGAAATATACTCTGGATACAGAACTCCGCCCGTTCCGCCGGAACAAGCTGGATTCAAGAAAGGCGAATCATATGCTGATCAGTTTGCAACTCTACGTATCATCATCGAGCAAAGCACAGAATGGCAGTCAAGATTGTACATTAACTTCATTGACTTAGAAAAGACCTTCGATAGACAGCGTTGACCAAGAAGTAATTTGAAAACTGCTCCAACACTACGGCATACAGCTCCCAAGTCTTTATCAATCTCATTTAACAGCTGGTTGGCTATATGACAATGCCACATGTCAGGAGATCAACAACGGAAAAGTAAGTGAGGCTTTCGGAGTACATACAATAGTAGGATAAGCTGACTGACCGTCTATTATCAACAACGATGATATTCTTAATTGTGGTGAACTGGATTATGCATCAAACTGTGTGTTGGGTGTGAGTGAGAAGACAGGAATACACTGCACTGGTCGATCAGAAGATTCCAAAAGATCTAGATTTCACATATGACTTATTCGAAATGTCCCACAAAGTTGGAGACTTAGAGGCAGTAGTCAGACGAAAACTGGCAACAAGCTGACTGAAGAGGGTGGCTGCCAGCGAAGACAGGACTCCATCCAGGTGAACATGAAGAAGACGGAGGTGATGAAGATAACCAACGAACAGAAACAACAACAACAACCAGAACCAGAACCACTCACCATCAGCGGGAGAGATTTGTGAAAGGTTACTTCCTTCACTTATCTAGTGAATAAGCATTGTTTCAACTACAAGTCGAAGTGGATGAAGATGTCGAAAGCAGCCAGTCAGCCAGCCAGAATTGGAAAGGTAAGATACACCTTCATCAAGCTGACTCCAGTGTGGAAATCTTCTACACTCACTCAGCCAGTTTACAGAAGAAAATTCGGATTTTCGACACAATTGTGAAGTCAGTCATTCAGTCAGTCAGTGGGTTATTCTCTATGGTTCAGAAACTTGGTGTTCCTGTCACGAAAAGGATTTCCAACTAGCCGCGTTGTGCAGACTTTTATCGATAGCTGCCATGTTCGCCAGGTGGCTCCATACTGAAGATGAAATGTCCAGTAGTGGGTCGGCCAGAAAGAATTAGCTCCAAGAAACTCTGACTGAGAATAAACCAACTAAGAGTGAGTCGCTCAACAGATATTTAAGAGAAGATGGGGATAGTTTGGAGATAATGTTAGAAGACCGTAGAATGATACCATATGCCAGTCATAACGTGGAGCGGAGTCCAAACGGGACGTGACGGGTGGGTCGTTGGTGTGAGGGTGACATGTATGAGATCGTGTGATTTGGAGGATGAGATGAGACAATTGGCAGCTAAAGAGAACAGCTGAAAATAGAGGAAAGTGGCGATGCGTTTTTGAAGCCGTGTGTTCCACTCGAATAGTAATGTATAGTGTGTATAGATTCCCCACAAAGTAAGCTAACGACAATTTCAGCTAAATAGAACGGAGATAAGAGAGCTGGGGAGTAACAGAAGAAACCGGATGGGCGTTCTTATCGAAATTCCTTCAAAGCAGTCTTCGTAATAATTCATGTTACAAATCCGTTATATTTCTTCGGTTCTCGTCAACTGAGTGTACAACCTATGGATATTGAATACGACCAGTTATGATACACTTTTAACACACACACACACACTGTTTTATTGATCATGAATGAGTTTTCTAGTAAGGATTGTTGTAATGAAGTCACCGAAGCAAAAAGTTCCTTGTAGAAATTGAACAGTTTTGTTGTTGAGGTGTGGTAATAATGCAACCACAGATAAAATACAGTGGTTGAAATTCGTAAGATTGAAAAAAAAAACAAAATTTGGTTTTTGAGAAGTCGAACTAAAAGATGATGATGTGATGAACAACAAAAGTTGCCTATTCTTACGGGAAACGTCTCTCTTACAATCGGTGCGAAGTCTTGGACCTAGGTTTCGTGCTTGTTGGCACTCTCCTCATCACGGCATATCTGCAATCTTAGTGGAATTCATTCGCCCTCCTGAGGTTCGAAACCGTCTCACCCGGTGCTACAGTCAGAGACTGTATTGGATACTTTGATAGGATACAAGTTAGTAACTAATGTCATACGTCTAGTTCTTTGTTTGGCGCACACTGAATAATACGAAGTGATAATCTGAGATAACCGTATCATCCTTCTTTTGTTTCACTGTGACTTTTTTTTACAACAATCCTTACTTAGGGAGTGATTCATGAGGATAAACAAGATGCATGTTAAAACTGTATTATAAGTGGTTTTACTGAATATAACAAGTTGTACGTAGCTGATGAGAATCGACGAAATAAAATGGATTCATGTTATTCAGCGTCAATGTTTGTTCCGTCTCTGTTCAAATTTATGAAAGGAAATTCTTGTATGAAATGCATTACTTTTTGGCGGTAGGAGAGAAATAAAGAATACACTTATTTCGATTCTTAACCGGTTCCGATAAAGTATCGAGGTATAAAGTTATACGATTTCGTGAACTTCACCTGGCTGATACGAACATAACACAGCTAACTGCCCTTTTTCATCATTACGTGTCATATCACCGGTTGATCACCTCTCCGCTTTTTTGGAGCAGTTCAATGGCTAATAAACAGTGGTTCTTATGCAAGCCACTGGGGTTTTAAGGTGATACCGCTTATTAAAAATCTGTCTCCGTTCTATTCAAACAAACAGCATCAGCTATTGGATGTAAGCAGTTTTACGGAGACAGTGAATGACTGTATAGTCGCTTCACATCCTCACTTCATATAAGCCAATTTTCACAGTCTTTGAGCGAGACTGAACACATCAAGGTATGATAGACAGACGTCAGACTAATATTGTGACGGTGGTAGACATAATCAAGGTTGATATATATCATTATAGTTTTTGCTGTTCTGTTGGAGATTTGGTTTGTCCCACCTCTAGTACATATACGACTACTTGGATCCAAGACCTTTTTGTTTACGATTAATGGATCATTTGTAAGCGCAGGTACAGCCTCTTGTCTATCCTGCAAAAATTGTACAGAGCAGGACACATGTTATGCCTGATTATATGCTATTCCAGTGAAGACGACATCGTCTGCATACTCAGGGTCAGTAAATATTTCTCCAGACAGCTGACTTGCACCACCACCATACGCATTCTTCAGAGCTGTCTCTAGAATCTGATAGACGGCGAAGTTGAAATAGTAACCATTATGCTTACTCAAGTAAGAACAAATTTATTTTAGGTTTAAAATTCCTACACGTTTTTATCATACTCGCTATCTACCGCAATGTACCCACGGGCATGAAGTTGCCAGAAAGCTGCAGGAGCTCACTGATTTCTGGTGGGATGTACTTCTACGTCGCAAGCGTCCTTACTAGCCATTTTCATGGAGTCCTGTAAGTGTAGCCAGTGTTGTAAATTGTATGGTTATCAGCTAGCCAGTACATAAACAACTGTTAATATGGGCGCAGTCGAGCAATGCCACCTCGGCTTCGGGTCTTACTACGACACCGACACTAGTTAGAAATGAGATACCGATGCCACAGAATCCCCAGATAAACACATGTAGAAAACACTATCCAGACGTGGTTAGCTTGTCTTAAGCCTTTGTGTTTCGGTTTGTATTGTTATTGTACCGCTTCTGTTGATGCGTTGAACTGTATATTTTTGTAGTTGACCAAGGTGTAGTAGATTGTATAAGTAACACTACTAACTTCTGTTAACCACTTGAAGGTTGTTTAGGTTAACTTTATACCAACTTTCTGGTATTTAGTGTCTATATGTTCTTGAAACAGGCACTTGAGATTCGAAGTATGCTTATTGTTGTTGGCCTCGTGTGTTGTATGTGGATGTGGAGGCTGTGACCAACTGACTTCTACCTAAAACATGCGGAGTTCAAATCTCCTCATTCCAAATAAACGTTGACCCGTGTAACTGGTTGTTATTTTCAAATTCCACATTTGTATAATGACAAGTCAATAGTATATATAATGCTGTTGTACAGTCTGTCTTAATGCCTTCTTACTCAAAATAATTATTGAAGTACCCTAGTTGTTTGCCTATCAATTAGTTTCAACTTATAATTCTTCTGTGTTGTTCAAGAGAGCATCGATAAATCAAGACTTTTATTGTATATGTTAGGAAAAAAGTGCCACTTGAGGACATAGTGCTGGGAATGCAGCTATGCCTGACTTCCACAGTATTTTAATTCCATGGGAAAATATACAAACAAACTGAGGGAGTTGCCATTGTGTCACCATTATCCCCGATTGTGGCAGGTATATTCATGGATAGGTGGGAAAACATAGCGGTTGAAACTTTCAGCTCCACCCCAAAAGTATGATGGAGGTATGTAGATGACACATTCACTGTACTTAGAACACAAGATATAGACAGATTTTTAGAACATATTAACTCGAAAGTGCAGGCAATCCAATTCAATTCACTTATGAATTAGAAAGTCAGCAAGTGGAGCTTCCAATGATAGATTGTAGCGTATAAAGGAAAAGAGAGGGGAAGTTAAACACTAGTGTTTACAGGAAACGCACAGGATAATGACAACACCAACAATAGGGAATATAAATCATCAGTAGTAATTGCATACAAAGAAGGAGACTCAAAACTTTACGTAGATTCTTAGCAATTCTGACAGGAATAGAAGTGATATTCAAACCAACAAAGTCAATTGGAAATAAGCTTTGTCGGTTAAAGGATCCTGTGGAGCCTTTAAAACAAAACGATTATCTAATACCCTGCCTTCAATGGTTGTTAGGTAGTCAGTCAGACTAACCGAACATAAAAACCTAGCAAAATCTAGATTGGTTAACCCAAATAAGATAGGAAATCTTGAGAATAGTTCAGCAGCTATACCACTCACTACATGCAGTTACACACAACCTACCATACAATAAGCTGGATAGGATAGGATGACAGTTTCAAAATCTAATGTAACAGGGTGGCGAGTGGGGAAGATTGATAACGGAATTTTTGTTTATCGAATCAAGTTACGAAGTCGTGTGATTACAATTGCAGTAATACTGTTTCACTCACTGACTGTGTGATACATCTAATAAACAAACTAATATGGAATTACTTACTACCGCCACAGTGCCCAAGTTTTTACACGTATATTATTATCTCTATGCTTAATCGGCTTCGTCATTCTGAATCTTTTTATTTTTGCTTCTGGTAGTTAAACAGTGTTAAATTTCATATATTTTTTTGTTGTGTTGTGGCTTTCTAATATAGTATGTATGAACTTTGTCATTGTCATTTTTTAGAAGCTTTCTTTTCGGATGCAAAATGGACTTCTAGTGAAAATTGTGGCTGGGATTTAAGCAATGATCAAGATTGGGGATCAACTGATAATTGGTCGACTGGAGGAGAGTCTAAGACAACTGTATCGCCAACATCATCTGGTCAGTCAGTCAGCCAGCGACGTGATTCAAAATTCACTACTACTGCCGGATGCAATCGAAGTAGGAAGAATTCATAAAAAACAAAAAGCCAATTGTCATTGAGTGCTAACTTCTCGTTCTTGTCTTCTTTTTTATATATATTACTGTGGTGCACAAAGGTGGTCAGATTAAAATTGTATGTATGTGTGGGTGTGTTGATTTGCCTGTGAACACACTCTCTAACACATACTAACCAGGTGAATGACTTTCTTCTTGCTTTTGTTTATACTACTTTACATCTATTTTTTTTGAAAAAAATTTTTTTTACTATCTCATTTCTGCTATATTATCTCATACTTGAAAAGAAAACTTGTCCCTTCCTTTTTTAAAGTTTGTTTAATTCAATTGACTTCTTCAAGTGATGGTCAAGTTTTGTCGTTTTTTTTTCTTTTTGGTATGCGTAAATTTTCTCCTCTTGTCGTCGGTATGACGATATTATCGACGATGGTGCTGATTATGATTGTGATATTATACATATATCTAGACCCTTAGTGATTCTCCTCTTTGTTTATCTTTCACAACTTCTATCTTTGTATGGGTTAGTTATTTATTTTGGCCGGTAAACTCACAAACACACAGTTGGTCGGTGATTTTTCTTTTTACTTAGTAACATTTATTAGGAGTTTGTGGCAGTATATTATAGGGTGTGAGATTTCCTTTTATCCACATTTTGAATATCTCTTTTATGCTTTATTATGTTATATTATATATATCTGTGGTTACCTTTTTATTCAAAGAGACAAAGAGCTCCCAGTGCTATAAATATATATACATATATGGAGTGACTGGATTTACCTTTTCCTTAGAATATATTTTATGGGTAGGTTAAGTGTTAATACGGTGCAGTATACAAATACGGCAGCATCGATCGTCACATTGCGGAGCGTTAGTCAACAGAAGTCACCGGCAAAATTTAGATCTGGTTTTTTGTTGTTTTGTCGGTCAAGCCTATTCCCCTCCTCTCACACTCCTCACTATCCATGGCATGATCCATCCGGCACAGGTGAAATTTAAGTAAGGAGTTGACTGTTCTTCTTCTATGCTCCGATAGATTATGACGCGCGTAATGTTGTGACTAGGTCTCTGCATGATTTGTTTTTCCTGAATCTAGTCTGTTTCGGGCGAAGTACTTCATCCAGTGCATCATTTGGCTTTTGCGGCCTAATATTTTGCTTTGGTGATTTCGGTTCTAGTCTTTGCAAAGACTTAAACTATCCTCTGGCAGTTTGACAAGTCTTCTTGTCTGTAAGGCCGTTACATATATTTCCTGTGGTAATGACGTGAATATGTCCGCTGCGATCTTTGTGTCCATTTTCAATGCTTCTTAGGAAAGACCTCTGATCTTGCTGTCTTTGCCTTTCTGGCTAACTTCCAAATTTACATTTATGACATTTAGGACTTCTGCTTTTGTCGGAGGATCGGTGTTCACTGGCATTTCTGCAGTTGTTGATGGACAAGTTTTAGGTGGTAATTGATTTAAGAGGAATTCGAAGTGACCAGCCCAACGTTCCTACTGTCTCTCCACTTTGGTAATGAGGTTTGCTTCACTATCTTTCATTGCTTTTGTCTTAAATAATAATAATAATGGCTTTATTGCAAATAGTCTGGAGTCTTCAACATGTAATACAATATTTCATTTAGTTTTCCCTTTACATTACAAAGTGCAAGGGAAAATAATGAACAAAGTGTTTCTGTTGATAATATTGTTTAACGAGAACATGAACATAAGATTAAAATTTAAGTGAAAATATTAACGAAAGAATAAAAAACGGTCGTTTACTTAGTGTTATGCAGTAAGCTACACTTTTCTCATCACATAAAATGTGTTTCAGATAAGGTACCGTAGGGTTTTTATACTTGGTTGTCAGACCATAAAGTCTCTTACAATTTGCTTCTAGTCCTACCTGAGGAAATGCGAAGAGAGATAGAGAGTTGTATGCATAGAGTCCAACAATACGATATCCTCTGATTTCTTGGACGAGTTCAAGTATCGGTCTATAACAGTATTAACAAGTTGGTTTAGCGGTACCCTCCACATCCCTTACTAACAGCTTCGCAGTATGATACAGGAAGGGATAAAGAAGAATAAGTAGGATACAAGAAATGACAAACTGTAAAAGAGGCCGAGTGATACCAGATTGTATTAACTTCTTTACGTAGAACATAAGAAGAAACATCTTTCTAGAAACTTATATAATGTGGGATGACCAGTAAGCATATAATCCAAGGTATTAAACCTTGGATTTATTTTCAACTTCAGTGCCATGCATATGATACTACAAGCATGAGAATGAGTCAATTCATGTACATCGTGCCTGTGTCGGAAAGTGGAATTAACATCTTGACATTTGGAGGGATTTAGATTAAAACCACTTGACAAGGGTAAAAAGTTATTCTTTTTTTTTAACAATCTGATTGAGAAGTAGCCGCTATGGAAACAGTCAGATCATCCGTATACCTAACAAAATTTTCATCATCAGAATGAGACAAGTTATGTAAAAACAGACAAGGAGAAAGAACAGCACCTTGAGGAACACTGGCTAGATTAAGTAAAGTAATGGAGGACTTTTCATTAAGTAAAAGATGCTTATGTTTTGGGGCGAAAAGCAGATGTGTAATCGTTCAAGGCATACTAAATATATTTGACACCTCTGTCTAAAGTAGAGACAATATTATGACTAAGGGCAACAGTGGTATCTAAAGTACGCCTACCATGTTTATGCCTGGTCATCGCCTTCCTCGACGAGCAATGTTAGCGGACATAGGGTCAGGCTGGAAAAAAGCTAGCGGAGGTCAAACCAAAACATGGCACCAGCCAATGAAATCCACAACAGTTAGTCTAAGCCACGTAGGAAGGTGTAGACTTCCAGGCTGGGGTCCTCGGGACGGTAAAAATCAATGGTTGGAAACAATTGGTGACATGGCTCAAAGTCGTTCTCAGTGGCGCAGATGCATCCACTCCTTGTGATTCATGATTTCCAATGAAACTGTTTTGTTCTTCGTTATTACTCCTCCTTTGTCTCACACCTCTGCTTACTGTCTCTATTATGCTTTTCTTGTACTTTCTTCTCTTGCTTCGCGTGCTACACGGAGTGTGGCGACTTGAACTTTCGCACATTTGTGCAAAGTTCTATGTCGAAAACAGACAGACAGACCATGTTTATAAGAAAATAGTTAGGGGTCATTAAATGTCCTCAGTTAGATAATTGTTGAGCGTACCAGTACCGATTGATGAAAGGATCATTTTTTCACTTGTATTTCATCGGGGATTCCCTTAAATGGTTTCCAGATATCTGATGAGGTTTTGCTTGGTAAGAACTTTTGGTCAGAGATCTATATTTAATCTCCACACTTATAATTTGATTAAAATGTCCAGTTTCTTTATACCAGGACTATCCTTTCATATTATGCGGCCTTTCTTTTTGAGTTGAAAAGGCAAAAAGCGGTCACTTCGTAAGAAGAGTGTCCCCTTTAGGCAACAGACATCAATACAGAATTTCAGACAACATTTGTGAGTCATTTAAAAAAACTTGTTCAGTAAATTAGGTCCCAGTTAGTATCTTTTAACATGCTCCTTAGACTATGTATATTATTCTGAAAGTGACATCTGTGTTGAGTATTGCTGCCAAGGTCCCTTTTGTTTAGTTCGCATATATTTTAAGCAACATTCGTATAATCCAGTGGTCCGAGTTTAATAGTGGGGTTCTGTACTTAGACAGGGGTTTGGGGCTAAATTTAACTGTAATATGGTCGACTCTGTCAGTTCGGAATCTGAAACGTATTATTGGAAGTAGGCCACTGGGAATTGTTGAAGGTTGGAACGACACCGCCGCATTTTTCTTAGAGCTACACCGATATTGTCTCAGCAGTTGGTAAGCATTCAGACAGAATAAGTTATCATATGATCATGGGGCCAGGTTTATTGATCGGTTATAGTCCCGGTATTACGGTAAACACAGGAAAACATGAGAGATCCCAGCTAGCATTGACTTCGGGAGCACTACGGAAAGCTGTCCCATGTTCTGTAATGCGCCCAAAGCGGCAAAATTAAACATAAAGCACTAGTTAGTGCCAATGGACAAATAACCTTGAACGCAACCACATGATAAAGGCGACTTTTGCGTATAAAATACATACATTCGTGAAATTGTGGAGTTTAACTGTAACATAGGATACCGTTCTCCCGCTTGTGACAAAAACACTTGTAAGTTTTGGATTGGAGTATCAACAGAGTAATTTAACCGCATTCTATGCATGTACTTGTCTAGGTCTTCTAAACCTAATCTTTTCTTAATCTAACTCTAACGTGAAAACATCCCTAAACTAACCCTAATTTAACTCTAATCCTTAATGTCTCCCCCATTAGGTTAACCTAACTCTAACCTGTCCTTAGCCTAAACTTTAACGTGATCTTTCCCAAACGTAACGTGAAACTTACCAGATATCCCAGATGTGATAACATAACGCACCGTTAAGCCTATTTTATCCATGATTACAATATTATTTGCCAGGTTTCACTAACTTCAACTGAGCATTCCAAGGTCATTGGAATTGTCATTGTTGCACTCCACTGGTACTTACTGGTGCTTAAAGAGTATCTTGGTTCCCAAAGCCTTTTATCCCGAGAATTCTGCAGTGCTCCCGATAAAATTCTAGCTGGGATTGCCGACGTCGGCGAAGATAAAGTAGCAACGCCAAAGTCAAGGTCTCTAAAGAGGTGATCTTCAAGAACCAATGAAATACAGGGGATGATATGAAAGGTCTTTCTAAATCGAATCATGCTTGGCTTTTTGAGCTTGGAGAGGGTAACTTCAGTATTCTACTTATTTCCTAGGTAATTTTTTAGCAAATATATGCTCTTAGGTAGGATTATGACTTTTCAGATTAAGATTTAGGGTCAAAGTTAGGATTATGGCTAGTGTTAGGAGTACGTTGAACAACGGTATCAAAAATACCAATAGATCTCAGAGTACCATGACCTACCGTCACCTGGATGAATGCACATATCGTGCATGGTATGGTTTCCCAATAGATCATCTGTGTTGTGATTGAGAGACATTCTTGCAACACATAAGCTACAACTATGAAGTGTTATATCATGCTAGCAATGTTTTTAGTGCATTTTTTAACAATTAGGTGACTTTTTTATCTGAATTCTGATTGGTTGTCCAAGGTCACTACAATTTTGTCTAGAATAGTTTTACTTTGCCTTAGGATACTTTTCAAAGCACACGGCCACCTAGAATGATGCTTTTTCTTAGTTTTATTGCAAATTTTCAAATCTGAAGGTTTTAAATATTCATGAGAGTAAAAAAGACGGTTGGAGGTCATAATTTAATAGGTTAACCTATAAACTTATAGGTTAAAACATAGTGAACACTAGAAATTAGATTCAATATGGTGATAGAGAATTTTTTTGGTAGCCCAAGGTTTATGCAGACTATTTGATCTCTTCTGTGATAGGGACCTGTAGTGTTTTTCACATGCGGTTTGTACTGCTCGATTTGACTGTGGTGTTAAAACTATCTTATGTCGTTGTTAGTATTCTTCATTCGTCTGATTAGTGTAATATTAAATTGAACTCAGCTTCTCCTTTCGTAGTACATCTTTTCACTAGTTCATCTTCTGTTCAGCATCCTACGCTGAACAGTTATCCCCAGTGAATAATTGCTTTCTGTGCGTGCCCTTGCCTATGATGTCTATAAAATTTTACTTCTTCATCGCTACCACCAAGTCCCAGTGTTCTTCCATGTGGGTTTCCTTGGTAATATTGCTTACTGCCTTCGATTGTTTCCCAATGACCGCGCTGATGGCGGTATTTAGAGCTTTATCCTTCAGTTTCTAAGACTTGAATTGTGATTCATCTTGAGCTTCCTTGAAGGTGTAGCGGTAAATAATTCCCCAAAATTATTGACCACAGTTATCATCACTCAACATTGGATGCTGACCACCACTGTTTAAGTTGACTTGTTTAGCTGAAGGCTTTCGGTCAAGCATCCCCGCCATTTGGTACTCCGTCATGTCACGTTCGTGCACGATCACTAGCCAGCTAAGCGTTCGTCTAACAACTCGTTTTGGTCCTGAAATATATCGCGTAATTTGGACGATCAAATACTGTCTTTTGCTTTGCTTTTGGTACGCGAGATTGAAATACATTGGAAGTTGTCGGTGTAAGAACTTGCGTTAATTTATCTTTGTACTGTTCGCGAACGTCTATACCGTCAACCTTTAAACTGGTGAGCCCAACCGCGAACTTCATCTACGATAAATACGTAGATAACCCCGGTGAGTTCGTTGCTTTTTTGTATTCGTTCTTGTACCATATTTTATTCGACATACCTTTCGTCATGAGTGATCTGAGTCCCAAGGTCATTCGTATCCATTCAGCTCGTACCATACTGGCCAGATAATGCTGAAACGTGGTGTCAGATAGCTGAAGCGGCAAAGTTCTACAATAGCGTCCCAAGGGATGCGAACGCATAAGTGACCTTCAGCCGACCAATCATAAAAATGAAGAATTTTTTCACAAAAATGACGTATATTCACAAGAAAATGCATGGAAACATATTAAAAAATTATCTTTCTCTGACATGACTTAAAAATACGTCCCAGTTATGATGAAGAGTATCAGCTGCTAAC